TTTTGAGCCCATTAGTACATATATTCAACTAATATTGTAGAGCCATTTCTTACCTACAGAATAAGCAACTGATCTGGCTAATATTCTGCGTCAGCTCTCTTTCACTTAAGCAATATTTTTGGAAGTACAGTTAGAATAGAGAACCTCTAACTGGATAGTCATTGTATAGCTTCCACTAAGATAATACTTACGAAGTAGTTATACATTCGTATAGAACATACTTACACCAAGACGTGCTTTACGAAGTAAAACTGAGTAAGGATTTAGAAAATATCATTTCCAACAGGACAATATTTAGGAAGTATAACTTTCACCTGCATAATACACAGGAAGTATAATTTCTACCTAAGCTAGATTTTAGGAGGGATTACTAGAAAATACTTTGGAATCTTAACTACGAGTATCACATTAATATGAATTTGGAAGTACAACTTTCACCTGATCGTGCTTTGGGAAGTGTGACTTCCACTTAGAAGTGATTTTGAAATGTAATTTCCACCTAAATGTTATTTAGAAATTATAACTCTCACCTAGATAGTATTTAAAAAATATAACTTTAATAGCGGTAGTGTACATATGTAAACAATAAATGTATAACTTTCTTCTTTCAACCAGAATACTTAATTACTTACTGTATGTTAGACCTCAGCCAGATTAACATAACCTTAACAAATCAGTATATATATTTATCTTTTTATCAACGATTGTTCATCATTTTTTTTTATCAGATGAATATCATTTTTGTTATTGGTCTCCATTATGCTCCTTTAAATTTTATTCGAAAATCTCTTGGATTATATGTTAGATCTTTTAAATTTTTTAAAATGGTGCGATTTCGTTGTCTGAACTATAGCTTATCCTAATTTTAATATTTTTTTTCTTTTGAAATTTAAAATAAGATTTTGTAAAAATTATTTTCCTGTGAGATAACTTATTTACTTAAATTTGGTTAAATTTTACATTAATGTATATAATAAGCATAATTTCTTATGCCAAAAAAAAGAATTTTTTGACTTACACCACCGCCATCTTTCGGCGCATTACGAAAGTATAAAATCTATTATTCCACTTTCTTGAAGAAACTTTTCTTCTTGGCTACATCACCACCACTTTTCAATTAGGAATTCTTACAATAAAAGTTGAACTCATCTCAATTTTGGTTAAGGATATTGTACGACCCTCGCATAAAAACGAAACCATCATCCGTTAAGAGTAGCTGAAAGTAACTGTGAATGAAAGCTTTAACCTCTAAGCAGCTCAAATGAATTTCTTTCTACAAGTTGAGAATAAAAAGGAATTTGTAATTGTGCTGCAAACATTACGCAGCTCTAAGTTTATTAAATGCATAAAGGCGCACCGTGACAGGATGCAGCTGGAGCTCGGGCTGTAGCATTTGCAATTTAGTGAATTGACACCTGCTGCGTGCTGTTCGAATTAAAAAGTGTTTTCAGGATGCTTTATTATGAAGAACGCTGACAACCATTAAACCCGCCATATTGCCATAATAACATTACGCTGAGCATGGCACGACTGCCGCGGAGTTGAGTTGTCAGCATCGATGTCATTATTCTTGCGGCGACATGTTGCATGCGGAGGAACGTTGCACAAAGTGCAATGTGAGCTGCTGCTGCGGATTATTAAAATAATCAGAAAGTAACGATTTTGCATAAAAATTGATATGAAAATAGGACATGATATGAAACGAAAATGGGAAAATCTTTAAGAAAGAAAATTCTTGATGCTGTTTGTTATTTTTGTTATTGTATGCGAATGTGGCAACTT